AAGTGCCTCATAGTTTGCAGCTTCCCAGAACAAAGAGTGTCTCTGAGGCTTAAGCCTAGAAGCTTAATTTATAAACTGAGTGTAATGAACCTTGTCAGAATTGTATTACCACTTGGCTTGTACCATAATATGTGTGTGGAGTGGCTATTGTATACAAGGATGACTTATTTTAACACACTGGAATTTTCCATTTGTTAACTGTCTCTCGGCCCTGGAATTGTCATTTTGCTTTTGTTTTTATTTCAATAGCTGCCATTTAGCCAGCTGCCATGAAGATAGCCATCGCCATCGATTCATTTGGGGTTACAATTCATGTATTAAGGTTAAATCCATATCTTTTATCCACCTTGGTTGAAGAACATGAAAGACCCTATACAACTGATCTAACACCTGTGTGTTCTCTCTCCTAAAAGTTAATACCCAATTCAGCTTGGTGCAGGTTTTAAAATTTAAATAAAAAAAGAAAGTTAACATCCAAGTTAAGCCTTGGTCCATGTCTAATCATTACAATCCTTCTGGAATCCACAAATGCCAAAGCATTTGCCCCAAAAAAACAGCCTGGAACCAACGTGTAATGAAGCCTTTCACCAGTCCCAGTTGACAGGGCTGGGAATCATCTTCCTTTCTTACCCAGTTGGCACAGATACATAGCAACTGAACAGCATTTTGTCTCCGGAAGAGTATAATTTCCTTAAATTACCGTTAGGTACTAGTGTTGTGTTCACGAGCAGCTTGTACACGGCCAGACATATCTCAGGGAGACCAAACAAATCAGAAGCAACCCACATGTGGAGAAACCATGTTGCAGAGTTTGAAACCTCTTAAGATGGAGTAAGCAAAATCATCCTCCCATCTCAGCTGCCTGAGAAACTTGAGCCCCTGGCACCTGAACATCACCACAGCTCCAAGCAATGACACCATCTTTTGTTCTCTGGTTTATTTTTCTGCCTAACTCCTTCTGTCACCTGCCTCTTCCCTAGGGACTGAGATAATAGAAGATTGGTACTTCTTTCAGCAAGTCCATCTGGTTCATTGAAATTTATCTCACAAAGAGTAGCAAGTCGAAAGATGGGAAGAGTGGCACAAAGTGGTCTAGTTTCTGTAAGTCCCCCCCCCACCCCCCACCAACTTTGTGGGGGGAAAAAAAAGCAACAGCTTCCCTTTCACTGCAGCAGCAACCTGTAAGGTAACGGATCGTTTCAGGGCATTCAGATCTGGCCTACATTGGCGCTGATATTTATCGGACTTATTCTGGTATTTTCTTCAGGTTAAACTTGTACTACTTCAGTGTCGCACTGAGAGTGTTCACAACCTGGAGGGAGTGAACAAGGCATATACAAAAGGTAATAATGCATTCGCAATATAAACAAAGAGCAAGGAAATCTTTATATTTCCCTGTAGATTCCTGCTATTTTAAGAAGCAGTGGTGGTTGTGCCACTTATTCATTTTTTTAACTACGAGTCGGATTTGCAGCATTCTCCTCCCTAGTCTGTGGCCAGAATAGCGTTTTCCGAACTATGGGCCTTAGTGCTAAAGAACGCACAATCTGCCTGGGTTTGAATCCTCGCTCTACTACACTAGCTGTGTGAGTTTAGGCAAGTTACTTAATCTCCATGTGCTTCAGTTTCCTCATCTGCAACATGGGGAAAATAATAGTGCCTATTTCTTTTTGTTTGGTTGTTTTTTGTTTTTGTTTTTGTCTTTTTGAGATGGAGTTTCGCTCCGTCTTGTTGCCCAGGCTGGAGTGCAATGGCACGATATCGGCTCACCACAACCCCTGCCTCCCGGGTTCAAGCAATTCTCCTGCCTCAGTCTCCTGAGTAGCTGAGATCACAGGCATGTGCCACCATGCCTGGATAATTTTTTTTTTTTTTTGTATTTTTAGTAGAGATGGGGTTTCTCCATGTTGGTCAGACTGGTTTCGAACTCCCGACCTCAGGTGATCCACCTGCCTCAGCCTCCCAAAGTGCTGGGATTACAGGCGTGAGCCACTGCGCCCAGCCAATCGTGCCTATTTCGAGATGGTAGTGAGAATTAATTTAGTTAATACAGGTGAAAAAAAATGTAAATAGTGACTGGCTAACTGTAAGTATTAAATATTATCATATTTCTATTCTACAGAACAGTAGTTCCAAGAGATATTTCTAGGGAAACAAGAGCCTGTGGTCAAGTAAGATTGAAAATGCTTCACACTAACATATGTCATCAAATCTACAAAGTTATTGATTACATACTGCTAGGAAAGAAAAAGCAATGCCAGTTAAACTAGGACATAATGCTTTCCCCAGGAATTTGGCGATTTTCCTGGTTTCAGTTGCATTGTGGCCTTGGTGAGTGGTAGCCACTCCTTGTGCACTGACCGCGGTAACAAAATACAGCCCCAGCTACTGGGTATGTTCCTTTCTTAAGTTCTATCAAGCACTTGGTTATTGCTTTGCAAGAATATAAGGAACTGTAGTGCTGTGGGCTGAATGCTTGTGTCCTCCTAAAATTCGTACATTGAAATCCTAACCCTTAAGGTGAAGGTAATAGGAGGTGGGGCCTTTGGGAGGTGATTAGGTCCTGAGGACAGGGCCCTTATGAATGGGATTAGTGCCCTTAAAAACATGCCTGAGACAGTAATATTCAGCCCCTATTCAGCCCCTATTCAACCTGAAGAAGTTACAGAAGATGACTCTTCATCCCTCTGTGACTGTTAGGGTTAAGGGTCCCCTTGTAAAAAGGGAGGGAAAATACGTCAGAGGCATTTGAACCAGAGCAACTCCATCTTGAACAGGAGCTGGCTAAAACAAGGATGAGACCTACTGGGCACCATTCCCAGGAGGTTAGACATTCTTAGTCACAGGATGAGACAGGAGGTTGGCACAAGATACAGGTCACAAAGACCCTGCTGATAAAACAGGATGAGGAAAAGAAGCTGGCCAAAACCCACTGAAACCAAGATAGGGATGGAAGTGACCTCTAGTCATCCTCACTGCTCATTATATGCTAATTATAATGCATTAGCAAGCCGAGAGACATTCCTCCAGTGCCATGAGAGTTTACAAATGCCATGGCAATGTCAGGAAGTTACCCTGTATGGCCTAAAAAGGGGAGGAACAGAAAACCTCAGTTCAAGGAATTGCCCACCCTCTTCCTAGAAAACTCATGATAACCCACCCTTTGTTTAGCATATAATCAAGAAATAACTACAAGCAGCCCATGTGGCTACTCTGCCTTTAGAGTAGCCATTCTTTTGCTTCTTTACTTTCCTAATAAACTTGCTGTCACTTTAATAACAACAACAAAAAGGCCTGAGAGAATCTCATTGCCCCTTCCACTATGAGAGGACATGGTGAGAAAGCACCATTCATGAACCAGAAAGTGTGTGCCCTTACCAGACTCTGAATCTGCCAGTGCCTTCACCCTGGATGTTCTAGCCTCCAGAACTTTGAGAAATAAATTTCTGTTGCTTGTAAGCTACTTGGTCTGTGGCATTTTGTTATGGCAGCTCAAGTAGACTAAGACATGTAGTTAACCTGCAATGATGAGCTTCTGCTGCTTTAACATCTTATATACACCCGACTGCTCTGTTTCCATATCTTTTGACATATACAGTAACTTTTCATTTCAATACCAATTCATGGTGTGATCTTTATGAACATACTTTCAAAAGCAAGGAAACATCATTCTATGCTGTGCTAGGAATATACCTAACTCAGTTGATGTGACAACAGAAATAGCTATGGCCAACATCGCATGTACCCAGGCAACGACCACCACAGCACAACTGCTGCCTCACCAACAACTGCTATAAGATACCACTGATTGTCAGAAGCATCCTACTTCAGAGATAATAAAACACAAAGGGAAGCGCTACTTAGAATTGATGAAGTATTTATTCCACCTTTAAGAGATCACCAATGCATATTAACATATTAAAGGCGCAAGGAAGCTCTGCAGTAACGAAACCCTCTTCCCTGCTTTAAGCCAATATTGGACCAGACAGCCCTCTTTACAAGTTATACCTATCAACATGTTGGCAAATTTATGTCAACATATTCTCCTGAAACAGAATCTAATGAAACTGAGCATAATCAAGTAATCACAAGGAATTTTTTTAACCGTGTTATAGTCAAGCAGCTGTATAGTCAACCAGGAAGACTGGCCCAATTGTGGAATCAAAGACAAAACAGTAGCCCCCACAGAAATCCTAGAGACTAATGATGATAAGTCAATATCTCCATAGTCTTAAAGAAGACACTTGCCGACCGGGCACGGTGGCTCATGCCTGTAATCCCAGCACTTTGGGAGGCTGAGGCAGGTGGATCACCTGAGGTCAAGAGTTTGAGACCAGCCTGGCCAGTATGGTGAAACCCCATCTCTACTAAAAATACAAAAATTAGCTGGGCATGGTGGTGCACACCTGTAGTCCCAGCTGCTTGGGAGGCTGAGGCAGAAGAACCGCTTGAATCCAGGAGGTGAAAGTTGCAGTGAGCCAAGATCATGCCACTGCACTCTAGCCTGGGTGACAGAGCAAGACTCCATCTCAAAAAAAAAAAAAAAAAATTACAAAAATTAGCCAGGTGTGGTGGTGTGCACCTGCAGAGTAGTCCTAGCTACTCAGGAGGCTGAGACAGGAGAATTGCTTGAACCTGGGAGGTGGAAGTTGCAGTGAGCTGAGATCACACCACTGCACTCCAGGCTGGGAAATAGAGCGAGACTTCGTCTCAAAAAAAAAAAAAAAAAAAAGAAGGCACTTGCCTTGTCTCCAGGTCCAGAGTTGTTATCATGATAAGACTAACTGCTTAGAACTGGTCAAATTCCAGTTTAATAAATACTATTGAGTCCTTCATATACATTAAGTCCTGAGCTCAGCACCAGAGCTACGAAATGCTTATAGGACCTTTGTTTCATCATCTGCAAAAATGCAATAGTAATAATAACACAATAATAATAGTATTACTATTATTATGTATGCAGTGAAGTACTGTATGTACAGCACTTAATATAGTGCCTGGCTTGGAGGGTTGCAAGTGTCATTCCAGTGAGGAAGGTGGAAGGGAAATGTAGGAAATGCCGAAGGACCACAAGCCACTGGGAGCCATGGGGGCCACTGTCATTCCCCTGTCCCTTAGACTATAAGGGTGATTGCTATAGAGGCCACCGAGCAAATGGCTTACTGTCCTCTGGTTTAGTTTTAACTTTAGATTCAACTCATTCAAGTTCCTTTGGGCCCGAAAAATCACAAGAATGAAGCGAGGCTTTAGCCGGCCTGGCATCAGTCATCTGCCTCCTGCATAGGCTGGGGTTCAGCAGAGCACAGCAATGACTTATTTCACCTTCAGGTTTGTATTTGGTGTGAGAACCCACAGTGAGAGGGAGATCATTTGGCAAGGGCAGGGAGGGGCATATAAGCATCGGGAGGTGAGCCAGAGTCAGAAGTCAGCTCAGGGGCCTTCACATCCAGCCCAGATCAGGAGCTAAGTAAAGGTGGCACCTTGAATACTGGGCCCTCTGAACTGGCGGCCATCCAGGACTTCGTGAGATATCCAGCCCCACTTTAACTGGGCCCTGAACTGGAGTTAGAGCCACGCTAGGTACACAGATTCTAAAGACAGGGATACTTGTCCCCAGGGTACCCACTTCACAGCCACGCTCCTAGTTCTTTCTCCCTATCCAAGAGGCTTAGCCAGTCACTCCCACAGTACTGCGGTGCTTCTCACACTCACAGCCACTTGGCGGGAATATGTCAGGAGCTTAAACACTTAGACTCCTGCTAGGAAAGAGAAACTAATGTCAGAGAAAATGTTTAAAAGGAGAGTATTTGAAGGATGGGGAAACCATTAAATCAGAGCATGCTATTTTTCCCATTTTTCATTTTAAGTGACTCAAAAGTAGGGGAGGAAAAGGAAGAGACAATTCAACACTGCAGAAATGACCACTGACAGCTGTAAGCAAATGCCTGAATGTTCCCTTCTAGGCAAGATAGTACTGCTTTCTTTTACACAGCATCAGATCTCATTATGTTCTTTTGATAACTGAACACTACTTGGTAACATGGAGAATATATTAAAAATATTCATTAGAGAATTAATATGCTTCATTTCTTCAGATTAAGTGTTGTAATAAAGATATATTGTCTTAATGTGCCAAATATCTCTCAAAAGAATGAAGACCCTCAGAGTTTTAAAAATCTGATCGAATTCATTTACAAACTGCTAACTACTAGAAACAACCTGGTATAATATCCACCTGATGCCCCATAGATGGGTAACTAGTGTTACTGATTTGATTTCACTCATGCTCAGGGATTAGAGCAATCTACTTATGGTGCCTTCTTGCTTGCTTGCTTTTCTTTTTCTCTTTCTTTTTCTCTCTCTCTCTTTCTTCCTTCCTTCCTTCCTTTCTTTCTTTTCTTTCTCTCTCAATGTCTTTCTTTCTTTCCTTCTTTGACAGTCTTCCTCTGTCACCCAGGCTGGAGCACAGTGACAATCATATCTCACTGTATCCTCAAAATCCTGTGCTCAAGTGACCTTCCCGCTTGAGCCTCTCAAGTAGCTAGGACTACAGGCATGTACTACCCTGCCCAGCTGATTTTTTTTTTTTTTTTTTTTTTGGTGAGACAGGGTGTTGCTATGTTGCCCAGGCTGGTCTTGAGCTCCCGGGCTCAAGTGGTCCTCCTGCCGAGGCCTCCCAAAGTATTGGGATTATAGGTGGGAGCCACTGTGCCAAGCCAACTTCTTAATAATTGAAGCAAAACACTACACAGACGTTGAAACTTCAGTAATAAAGTTGATAACATTGAGTTGCCTTGGCTTCTCCATGTAGACATCAATAGGGATAAAGAACAACTTGTTGAATCAACAAAGATTATTCCCACACACAGGAGGAAAGGAAGAGCAAGGTGGAAGAGAACAAATGAATGGAAAGCTATGTGTCCAGAATCACAGGAATGAGTACAGGATAATAAAAGAGAAGAAAGATGTAGGTGAAGGGACGGGGACATATTCAAGGAAAAGCTTAGTAGTAAAGGCATATACTTAGCAGTAAAGGCATTTACAAACCAGTGAGGGAACTTAAAGATGATCAGAAATGGGGGCTAAGCATTTTTGTGGCGGCATCAGGAACTGCCTGGAGGATGGAGAAAGGCCCCAGAGAAAAAAGTGACATATATCATGGGTTTCCATGGTGATGATGACAGTGTCACTATCAGAGCATTATGACTTCAGAATAGAAACAAGGATATAATAATAGCATACAATAACATCTCCCTTTTAAATCCCTCCCAAAGCTCTTAGTATTTATTCATTAATTTTCACAACACCTATGAATTAGGTAGGGAGTATTACCTATTTTAGACATCAAAAAATCAGAAGCAATTGAAATGGCCACAAGGTCTGAAAAAGTATATTTTCTGCTAATCTCTCACCCTGCACTATAAACTTGTGGGATAATTGATATAAAGACTATTTCACTGGCGCTTAGGCTAAGTAATATGATGAGTTTTTGGAGGTAACCATTTTTGGGAAATGTACATTGGACCGACCACTGGAGAAAAAACTTTCTAACAAGTGTTCTTAGATTTCTTCTTTACTTATAAAATATGAGAAAGCAGAAATTTCAACCTTTTCAACAGCTGAGCATTATTTTCCAAATGTTTTGCATCAAAGACTGCCTGTCTGTCTTCCTCATGGCTTGCTTTCATTGCAACTGGCATTCTTTCAGGCTTTTTAAATTTTTGGGGGGGCTTTGTTTCACTTTACTCTTCTTCCCCCTCCCTTCCCCCTACTTCATTCATCTGCTCCATAACCCCCCTTCAAACACACCCTGAAAACCAGGGGTGGGACCGATGACTATATCACTATAAAATTCTTATTACTACTCATTCTTAGAATGATTAGGACACTCATTTAACCTGGAGAGGAAATTCATATTACAGTTGAAGAAGTTTTAGAATCAGACAAGGTGGGTTCTAATCCTGCCTCTGCCACCTGCCAGCAAAGTGGCCTTAGACCAACTACTTCTCTGATCTTAATTTTCTCCATCTATAAAGTAAAAATATATTTGTATATATTTCCCAGTGTTGTGAGCATAAAATTGGATAATGTATATAGAGCATTTAGCAAGAGTTATTCCTGAGGCTATGAAAACGCAGTTCCTATCTAGGTAGCTCTCCTTCCTCTTTCTCATACCCTATTTTGCAATCCCCACCTTGACTCTAAAGCCTTTTAATACTAATCTCCTTTCAGGGGTCTCTCTCTGTTCCCATCTTGAAGACAAAGAGCAACAATGCTCAGAAAAGCTATGTTCATATTCAGTATCTATTGGGACCTCGGGAAGTGGCTGAGGGACTGTAAATCCAGAAATCAAAATTTTATTGTGTTTCCTCCTTTCAAACGATGTGATCTTGGGTAAGCTGCTTCTCGGATCCTCAAGTTTCCTCTGTAAAATGACATCACAATGCCTACCTCATAGAAATTTTTTTTTTTTTTTTTTTTTTTTGAGACAAGTTTCACTCGTTGCCCAGGCTGGAGTGCAATGGCACAGTCTCAGCTCACCACAACCTCTGCCTCCCAGGTTCAAGCGATTCTCCTGCCTCAGCCTCTCGAGTAGCTGGGATTACAGGCATGTGCCAACACACCCAGTTAATTTTGTATTTTTAGTAGAGACGGGGGTTTTTCCATGTTGGTTAGGCTGGTCTTGAACTCCCAACCTCAGGAGATCTGACCGCCTCAGCCTCCCAAAGTGCTGGGATTACAGGTGTGAGCCACTGCTCCCGGCCTTTATAGAGATCTTATGAAAGTTAAAAGTACTTATGAATATAAAAATGGCTTATACAGGAGCATAACACACAATCGATGTTCAATAAAGTGTGAACTGAACGTGACCGTGAATTAAAAATATTTCCTATCATTCTCTCTTTCCTAGAATTTAATAGTAATTAAGTAAATTCTGGTATATCCTGTGATGCAGTTACTAAAATCCTAGAGTACAACATTATTAACATGGGGAAAATGCTCATGATCTATTTCTAAGTGAATAGTATTTTATTTTATTTTTTTTTTAATTTATTTATTATTATTATACTTTAAGTTGTAGGGTACATGTGCATAACGTGCAGGTTTGTTACATATGTATACTTGTGCCATGTTGGTGTGCTGCACCCATCAACTCGTCATTTACATCAGGTATAACTCCCAATGCAATCCCTCCCCCCTCCCCCCTCCCCATGATAGGCCCCGGTGTGTGATGTTCCCCTTCCTGAGTCCAAGTGATCTCATTGTTCAGTTCCCACCTATGAGTGAGAACATGCGGTGTTTGGTTTTCTGTTCTTGTGATAGTTTGCTAAGAATGATGGTTTCCAGCTGCATCCATGTCCCTACAAAGGACACAAACTCCTTTTTGATGGCTGCATAGTATTCCATGGTGTATATGTGCCACATTTTCTTAATCCAATCTGTCACTGATGGACATTTGGGTTGATTCCAAGTCTTTGCTATTGTGAACAGTGCTGCAATAAACATACGTGTGCATGTGTCTTTATAGCAGCATAATTTATAATCCTTTGGGTATATACCCAGTAATGGGATGGCTGGGTCATATGGTACATCTAGTTCTAGATCCTTGAGGAATCGCCATACTGTTTTCCATAATGGTTGAACTAGTTTACAATCCCACCAACAGTGTAAAAGTGTTCCTATTTCTCCACATCCTCTCCAGCACCTATTGTTTCCTGACTTTTTAATGATCGCCATTCTAACTGGTGTGAGATGGTATCTCATTGTGGTTTTGATTTGCATTTCTCTGATGGCCAGTGATGATGAGCATTTTTTCATGTGTCTGTTGGCTGTATGAATGTCTTCTTTTGCGAAATGTCTGTTCATATCCTTTGCCCACTTTTTGATGGGGTTGTTTGTTTTTTTCTTGTAAATTTGTTTGAGTTCTTTGTAGTTTCTGGATATTAGTCCTTTGTCAGATGAGTAGATTGCAAAAATTTTCTCCCATTCTGTAGGTTGCCTGTTCACTCTGATGGTAGTTTCTTTTGCTGTGCAGAAGCTCTTTAGTTTAATTAGATCCCATTTGTCAATTTTGGCTTTTGCTGCCGTTGCTTTTGGTGTTTTAGACATGAAGTCTTTGCCCATGCCTATGTCCTGAATGGTACTACCTAGGTTTTCCTCTAGGATTTTTATGGTATTAGGTCTAACATTTAAGTCTCTAATCCATCTTGAATTAATTTTCATATAAGGAGTAAGGAAACGCTCAATAAATTCGGTATTGATGGAACGTACCTCAAAATAATAAGAGCTATTTATGACAAACCCACAGCCAATATCATACTGAATGGGCAAAAACTGGAAAAATTCCCTTTGAAAACTGGCACAAGACAGGGATGCCCTCTCTCACCACTCCTATTCAACATAGTGTTGGAAGTTCTGGCTAGGGCAATTAGGCAAGAGAAAGAAATCAAGGGTATTCAGTTAGGAAAAGAAGAAGTCAAATTGTCCCTGTTTGCAGATGACATGATTGTATATTTAGAAAACCCCATTGTCTCAGCCCAAAATCTCCTTAAGCTGATAAGCAACTTCAGCAAAGTCTCAGGATACAAAATTAATGTGCAAAAATCACAAGCATTCTTATACACCAGTAACAGACAAACAGAGAGCCAAATCAGGAATGAACTTCCATTCACAATTGCTTCAAAGAGAATAAAATACCTAGGAATCCAACTTACAAGGGATGTAAAGGACCTCTTCAACGAGAACTACAAACCACTCTCAGTGAAATCAAAGAGGACACAAACAAATGGAAGAACATACCATGCTCATGGATAGGAAGAATCAATATCGTGAAAATGGCCATACTGCCCAAGGTAATTTATAGATTCAATGCCATCCCCATCAAGCTACCAATGAGTTTCTTCACAGAATTGGAAAAAACTGCTTTAAAGTTCATATGGAACCAAAAAAGAGCCCACATCTCCAAGGCAATCCTAAGTCAAAAGAACAAAGCTGGAGGCATCACGCTACCTGACTTCAAACTATACTACAAGGCTACAGTAACCAAAACAGCATGGTACTGGTACCAAAACAGAGATATAGACCAATGGAACAGAACAGAGTCCTCAGAAATAATACCACACATCTACAGCCATCTGATCTTTGACAAACCTGACAAAAACAAGAAATGGGGAAAGGATTCCCTATTTAATAAATGGTGCTGGGAAAATTGGCTAGCCATAAGTATTTTTGTTTTTTAAACAACACTCAACACATACACACACACACATAGACACAAAAAGGGTTTTTACCAAACTTTTCTGTACTAAGCATGAATGCTTTTCTATTTAGGGACAGAAAATTAAAATAGAAATTTTAAAAGACGCTATGGCAAAAAAAAAAAAAAAGTATGTATGGTGGGTCCATCAAGCATGACAATGGAAGGAAGGCAATAAAAGCAGCGGGGAGTGTGGAGAGAGTAAGGAGAAGCTAAGAGTGGAGGAGGGGAGAGGGAGAAAAGAGGTCAGAGCGAGGATGCGGTAAGTCAGGGCTCAGAGTCAGAGGAGCCTTGTCTTCCAAGCATTTGTTGCTGAGATTGCCAAAATGCCTACAGAGATACAGGGCCTCGTCTCAGCCATGCAGGCCACAAACATTCAAAGTTCACTGGGGAACTGGGAGCCGGAGGAATTCTGAGCCCAGGAGGCTTTAGATGCCCTGCTTTTTCTGTCTCAGATCCACAGAAAGGGTGATTTACTTGCCTGCTTACGCAAAAGCTAACGGATGACCTAGATGGCCTCCCATGTGGCTTTCAAGTCTAGGAGACTGATTTACTAGGGTTTTGATTTATTCTCTTCCAATGAGCAATAAACCAAAAGCTATCGCCACTAGGTGGCATGCCCCAAATACTATTAAACTTTGAAACTGGCAGAAAAGTTGCTATCTCAGGGAATCACACACACCCTGTAAGTCAAAAGCACTGTTAGAGGCAACGAGATGATCATAGAATATTTTTCAGTTTCTCACTGTTAAAAACAAAAATCATCAAGCAAAACCACTGTAACAATAATAAACACTTCTTTCCCAAATAATATATTAAATGTGTTTCTCATGGACACATCCTGGAATCCCCTTGGGAAACATGGCCCCCATTCCCCCATCAGTGCCTATAACAATCTCCTCCTTTCCCAACCAAAATAAACAAGTGCCCCCTATCATATTCCAAAAGCAGAAGTAGGTCTCTGATGTCATCAAAGAATAATGTCCAACCATAGATACAAGATTTGCATGAGCTGAAGTAGGACAAAATATTCCCCACACAGGATCTATTATGGTCGAGAAAGGACAAGAATGGGACCCAGGCCAGAAAGAATATACTCCTTTTGACCTGATAATCTTCTCTTTCTAAATATCAGTGCTACTGTCAGGATCTCTATATTAAGCTAGAGCTGTTAGTCATTTACACCTTAATGTGGATTAGTTTTCTCTGCTGTCTTTTCCCCTGAACGTTACATGTTATTCGTTATTCTACAAGAACAAAATTTTAGTTGAATGGCTAAAGAAAGGAATGATTTTAGAGAACATGAAAGGAGTACCCAGAAAGGATAGGATGGGGTAGGACCTTAAACTTGAGGACTCTGCATATGGCTGCAGAGGGTCACCAAGCTCTTGGTATTTCTGAATGAGGAGAGGAGAGTGTAGATGGAGAAATAATTAAAGGGAAGTGCTGAA